GTGTAAAAAATAAAATAAAATAAATTTTTATTTAATCTAGATAAAAATGATTAAAATATTAAAGATATGTTTAATATGACTATTATTTAATAAACTATTGAAAAATGATAAAATAATCTTTTAGTCATTTATCCTATCCAGTCCGTTCAACTAAACGTTTGATTTACTAAAAATAGTCATTTCCAGACATCTAATCCTATGAAAAAACAAACACAGGAAACATATCCAATCCAACCAAATAGTCCGGAAGATTCACAGTCCTAAAACTCAAATCCGATAGATTTTAATTTTCCTTTATCCAGTCCGTCTAATCAAACACACCCTATATGCTTATAAAAAATTATATTGATCAAATATCAATTGCTATTTCATTAGATTATATTTCAATCAATCATTTATTTTTTCATCATCTATTTTTTTATACAAAACTAATTTAATCAAATAATTATCGATATCTGATCAACGTAATTATTTACATAAATTTTATAAATTAAACGATTTAAATTATCAAAACAAGATCCCGTCAAGCACTTAGACAAATCCAAGCCAATCTAAAATTGGAGAGAAATCCAACCCATATTGTATTTCCAAAATCCCATGTGTCAGGGCACCTTCTTTATTATCTCAGCAGCAAACCCAAGAGTCTAACCAGACACACAGTCAAACAAAAGAGCTACTACTGACTTAGGGCTCCACGTCAACCAAATGATCAGTTCAGTGACATATATTAAACATAAAAATACAAAAAAAATATAAATAAAATAGGACTGCTTCATACCATTAATATAAGCAGGAAAAACAAGCCCAAATCTTTCTTCCTATTTTTTTTTTTTCTTTTTCAAACTCTATTTTTATACTGTGCTATCTCTTCTTGTTTGTTCCTCCAAAGGATACTATTTCTTTTCTTCATTTTTTTTTTCCCACAAAACAAACTAAAAAATTAACCCAAAAAAAAACCATAAACATTAAATGTTACAACTGTCTGTCGTGTTTCCTTCCTCATCCTTTTCTCTTTCTTCCCTCTATTTTCTTTATCCATCTAATGAACGGAGAACTCCAATATCTCATAAAACAAAACGGATTTTAAAAACAAAATCAAACAGAATTTCTTCTCAATTTTTTTTTCTTTTCCAACACTCTTCTTTGTCCATTGCTGTTAAGAAATCTAATATTTAACAGCTGGTGACTTTCCTTCATGCCAAGAGCATGAAATAATTTTGATGCCATCCTCCATGCCCCGCTCATGACCTAACTTATTGAGCTCTTCTTTACAGCACCTTTTTTTTTTTCCCCTTTTTAAGAAAATAAAAAATCAACCCTTTTTTTCCTCCAAGCAAAACTCCCATTCTACCAAACCAAACAGATTTGGATTTGGGTGAGAAAATAACCAATTTACCCCACATCCCCCTCTAAATCTCATCTCCAAAGGGTCTATTTAGCTTCCTCCTCTTAGGGTCTCGGGTACTATGAGAAGAACTAGGACATGACCCAACTGTTGTGCCATCAGTTTTGTAGCTCAAACATGCAGCATCAAGCACACCAATTGGACTTTGCGGCACAGATGGGACTGAACCACTTGGGCGCCTCATGGACCCACTTGCCAATGATGACTCATAGATCAGTTCAACACACTTGAGCACCCTCTCCTGCATAACACAAACAAAAGGGAAGGCGAAAAACAAAACAAAACAAAACCAACCATATGTTAATTGAAAAAGATTTGTGGGTAATCAAAACACAAATGATTTGATAAAATAAAAATAAAAAAAGCAAAATCATGATTAATATCACCAACTTTACCTTTTCTACATGTTGAATGATAAGAGAAATTGCTTTCTCACTGTCTACTGTTTGAGCTTCTCTTGCAACAGATATTGTCACTGCTGCTGCAATCTCAGAAGGCCTGAACTCCAAGAAGTCAATCTCTGCATTGAATTCCCACCCAATATTATTAATCAAGTTTGAAATGATTGTACATTGTTTTATTAAATGTACAACTATTTAAAGTTTCATTATTCAACAGTGAGCGAGAATTTACCTTTTATTATGCTCAGGATGAGTTGGGTTGATCTAAATATTGAAGACGTTGGCAAAATTTTATCACCATTGATCTTTCTAAGGAAATTGTCTATGAAAGAGAATGGGGTGACTGCTTGCATTCTCCACTTCAATGTGCTCAAGACTAGAAGCTCCATTTTCTGTATGGTTCTAGCTTCAAACACAAATTTAGACTCACTCACCTGTCACATTCCTCTTTATGATTAGAATAATTAGATCTACAAACAATATAACAAAAGACACCTTATGAAGATTCATTACCTGCAAGTCGAGACATAAAGGAACCACAGTCTCCTCCATTTTAGCTGCAAGAGACAAACAAGCCACAGCCAACAACTGCATCATCCAAGCTTTGCCCTTCTGCAAGTAACCACACAACAATGCAATCACCAATGTCATTAAATAAATACACTTGAATTTGAAAACACCAAGGTTGTGTTTGGATCAAGAATTGAAATGAGCAAGGATCAATAGAATTAGATCATGAACTTACAGGTAATTCATAGGCTGAAAGGAATCTATCAAAGTAGCTAACAGACAAGTAAGCACAAAGAGGTCCAAAATTGAAATGGGCATGAACCTGTTAGATCAAGAAGGTTATTAGCATTTTATCAACAGCCAAGGAGAGAACACAGAAAGGATTTCACAACCAAATCCCCTCCAATTTTTATTTATTTATTTATTTTATATACTAATGTTGTTAATAAATTGAAATGAAGTTCTTAGTACAAGAGAGGATAAAACAGAGGAAATGTAAATCCAATTATAGCCAGCTATAAAAAATTTAAAAAAAAGAAAAAGAAAAAGGAAAAGGCAGACAAATACAATTACATAATCTGCACCAGCTAACTCAAAAGCAAAACAGAGAAGAATCCCACCAAACCCATTTCAGGTTATGTGTGAAAGCAATAAAAAGAAGCAAAAACTTCAATCCACTCCATTAAACACCTCATAGTTAATGATAGTCCCAACATTTAATTCAAAAACAAAGGAAAGAGAAACTACACATCATTATAACACCACCCCAAAAAATCCATATAAAACAAAAATAAATAAATAAAGGGAAAATCCAAAAAACCCAAGTTATTGATATCATCAAAAACATATAAGAAAACAAATAACCATAAAAAATCAAAAAGAAAAAGAAGAAAAGCAACCCATTAAAGAAGGGTCATGAACCAACCTTTCCAATCCGATCAACTGCCTCTTTTCTAGCCCCCAAATCCAAGCCCCCATTCCTCAATCTGTTCAGGTAACCACTATTAGGCAAATGCTCGAATTCCTTTTTAACCATCAAAGCCAAGCACTCATCACTCTGCAATGGCAACCCAGTGAATGGATCTTCTTCACCATCAAAGTTGTGGTTTTGATTACTGATCTGATGATTCCCGCTATGATGCCAAGTAGTCTCAAAGTCCTCCACAGCCCCACAATCAACCTCATCATAAAAAATACTGTCCTTGTCTTCTGCACATAGAAGGCTTGACACTGTATAATCAAAACTTTGTGCCATTGCAAACTTTCACTAAATCCTCTCTTATTTCTATAGATATTTATGATTTAAAAACAACCCATCTTATCAAACGAGAATGACAGATTCCTAGAAACCTCAGTTTGTTCCTTGGATTGGTTTAGGTACTATAAAGATTATAAGAAAAACAGATTTCTTTATCAAAGAATGTGATGCAGAAACGGAGAATGAAAAGGGCATGAGAACAAAATAGAGATGAAGCACTCTCTCTCTCTCTCTGTCACTCTCCCCCTTTTCTCTCTATCAGACTGCTGCAAGAGAGCGGCTTATGATGGGAGAAACGAGGGCCCCTTTTTAGGGTAAATGTAGAGAGAGAGAGAGAGAGAGAGAGAGGGGCAACAAAGCAAGAAAATGAAGTTGCAAAATATGGACAGCAAGGCGGGGCCGAGGAAAGCCTCTGTGGACAATTGTGTCCTAGGTGCAATGGATGATTTACGCTTGGATGTATATGGTAGTAAAATTAGTGTATTTCCAACTAAGTAATGTTTTGAGAAGTTGGTAAAAAATTGATTTTTTTGATAATTTTTTTGGTAAAAAATTAGATTATTTTGAGTAAAAAAACTGATATTTTTAATTAAAAAAATTAAAAAATCAAAAAAATTAACTTTTTTGATGTGTTTCCAAAAGACTCCCGAGTATTTAGGTTGGGATTTTTTTTTCCACACATATTAAGACCATTTTGAGAAGTACGAAAAAAGTCAATTTATTAGTTTATTTGAGTTACATTAATTTTTTTATTTATTTTTCTGTATTTTTTTCAAAAAAAATTAATAAACTAATTTTTTCCTACTTATACTCTGATGTTTAGAAAAAATATATAAATGAGTTTATCACTTGCACATAGGCCCTGTTTGGTGTAGTTAAAAGGATTCATTCTCTAACTTTTAAATAATTAGTTTTTTTTCTAGCTTATTTAAGTTATTTCTACATAATAAGTTATAAGCAGAAATTACACCAAATAATTTGGCACAGACTTTTAAATTAAAATAAATTATAATTACCTCTTTAAAAGTTGTACCAAACAGCCTCATAATTACATTAGATTCTCAAAATAATTTAATTCATGTAACATTTATATTCATTTTCATCAATAATTCATTAATTATATAAATGAAAAAAAAGATGAAGTCATATTTTATACAGCAAAATTTTTATTTTACCTTAATTATTTTTATGTTTCACACCAAATACATTAATTTTGACTTTTTTTTTAGCTTTACTAGAAAATTTTGAATCTAATTATGCCAAATTTGTGAATATTGTATTTTTACTAAATACTTATTGGAAATACACAATAAGTATTTGGGTTGGCATTTTTTGTTTTCATTGGATATTAAAATAATAAAGGTAAATTTCACTGACCTACCTTGAGTTTTAAAAAAATATATATATATAATGCTTTCTATAATTTTACATAATTACATTGAATTATCAAAATATTATAATTCATATAACACATATACTCCATTTCCTTAGTAAATTAGTGGGGAAAAAATGGCATCATCTGTTCTTTTCTTTTCTTTTTTTGTAAAATATATATTGTTACACTTATATATTTTAATAATTTATTTAATTATGTTTTAATTTATGTGAAAGAGAAAAATAGAATCCAAAATTTATTTTGATGATTTATTTAATTATATTTTAATTTATTTGAAAACAAAAATAGAATCCAAAATTTATTTTGATGATTTATTTAATTATGTTTTAATTTATTTGAAAGAGAAAAATATAATCAAAATTTATTTTGTCCCATTATTTCTCACCTAAACCTTTATCCTAAATGTTGTTAGAATGTATTTAATATTTGATTAAATCAGGAGTTCAAATAGCCCAAAACAGATGTTCAAACAGCCCAGCACAGCAGTAGTTCAAAATGTTCAAGTGAAAGATATTCAAATTTGTAATAATAGAGTGAAAGATATTCAAATTAGTAATGATGGAGTACAACGACTATAAACGGCTATAAATTCAAATAAATACAACGGCTATAAGTTTCATTATATATATCAAAACCTCTAATGTAAACAAGTTACAAAAAATCAAAAAATATTCTTTGATCTATAACTATTCACATCTATTCTCTGAAAAATTCTCTGAGAAGTGTTCTTAAATTTTTGCTTACATCATCTTTCAGAAATTATACACTGAGACGTATAGCTTTAAACCTATCTTTCATATGTGAGGTTTATAGAAAAATCAGAGCTTCATTTTGTATATCCATCTGGGAGAGATATTTATTGTAAACTTTTTTTGAAAGCAAAAATACCATTTTATCTTGTAAAAGTGTTGCAAACATTGTGTTCTTGAAATCTTGAGAGTGATTGTGAATCACCTAAGATTTGCAAGGGTTTGGGCTTGTGAAGTCTGTATAAAATCTATGGAGGATTGCTCCATATTTATGAGGTTGCTAGCACCCCTATGAAGCTAGAAGATAGTGGAAAATCTCAAGTGAAACTTGAGAAGTGGATGTAGGCTTGGTTGAAGCCGAACCATTATAAATCTGTCTGTCTCCTATTCCCTAATCTCTTTACTTTCTTACTACTGCTATGGTTATCTAATATTCATGTGTTTATCATTTGATTTACCATGTATGTTAGTTATACTTCATTGTTATTTTAGTTGATCATTTACTGCTAAGTTCATCATTGTGCTTGTTAATAATTTGTTGTACTAGTAGTTAATTTTATTAGAGTATTATTAATTTTAATTTGTAGAAACCTAATTCACCCCCTTCTTAGGTTGCTTTTTGGGTAACATATATATATATATATATATTACTTTAATTATTATTTTTATGTTTTTACACCATATGCATTAGTTTCAATTTTTTTAACCTTACTAAAACAACTTGAGTATAATTATACCAAAATTGAGGATGTTGTTATATATATATTTTTTAAACTTCAAAGAATGTGAATGTAATTTACCCTAAATGAGGCGGCAACTTGTAACGAGCCGGAGATGCATTTGATTAATTAGTCATTTAATTGCATCTTTATGTGCTACTTGATTACGTGTTTGTTGTGAAATTGCATGTTTAATGGTGTGAATTATAAGAATTTGAATTTATATCTGTTGTTCGTAGGAAGACCTATTGAAATCACAACTTTAAACTGAAATTGAGGATCTTAGAGGTGCCAGAAACCAAAACTGTGTAAATATGTGTGATTAGCATAAGGTTTAGTACCAAATGAGAAGTTTGGTAAAAATTTGATTCAGAATTAATTAATTACATTTAATTAATCCAATCCTTAGTTAAACTTGACTTAATGAGGTGTATATATATATATATATATATAAAAGAGCCTTAGTTGTTAGACTCAACAAATATCTAAGAGAGAGAGATCTATATATAGAGAGTGAGAGAGAGAGAGGGAGAGGGAGAGGGAGAGGGAGAGAGAGAACTCAAGAAGGAAAGAAAGGGGAAAGAGAAAGAACAAGGGAGATCAAGCCAAGCTTCAATAATCCAACCAACAACGGTAAGATTTTCCCTCTAACTATCATAAATCTGGGATGTTACACTTAGAAATTTATGGAATTTAGGTTAATAAGGAAGAAATCAAGCTAAATTGGTGGTGTTATAATGTAGTAGATATGAATGAACAAGATAAGAGAGGAATTGTAGAAGTTAGTTCTAGAGCATGACATCCTTTCATGAGATTCATGTTTTCTTGCATGATTTGTGAGTGTTGAGGAGGAAACTCCTCAAAATCTTCAAGATTTAAAAATCAAACTTGTGTGTTCTATGCTTTTATATTTTTACTCTAACCTTTGAGCTTTTAGGTGGGATTTGGGTGTTGTTTATGAAGTTACAATCTTTGATTGAAGTTAGAAATGTGGAAAACAAGTTGTTTTTTAGAGTTTTAAGCTTTGATATGCATGGATTTGAAGTTGGTGTGTGAAAAACTTGAGTTCCACAAATGAAACAGATTTTCGGACTGGTTTTTACCGTGACCGCACGTGCGGACTGAGGCCTCGCACTTGCGGCTAGACCTTCTCTGTTTCAAGATGCATTTTGCTTTGGTCCCACTCAAGTGGCCAGGGCCATCGTATATGTGGTTTTCAGAGCAGATTTTCAGTTTTGTTTTCTTTCTATTTTTCTACCTTCCGGGTCTCCGTTTGCATGGTTTTCACGTGTATTTCACTGCATATGCATTTCATGATCACAAAAGGGTTAAGGAATGAATAGGACTAACCGAATGAACAAGTAGTGATTTAACCGAATAGGGTTAAGAAACAACTGAATGAAATGAATATGTTTTGAGATGTTGTGTTATGAATATTATGTTGTAGGTCACGATTCGAAGACCGAGCAACCAGTTCTGGAAGCCCACTATGAGTAACATTATTGTAAAGATATGTTTATGTGATTTATGTTTGAAGTGTTACACGACAAATTTTGATTTCTAAAATGTGATTTTGTTAACATGAACGAATGTCCTATTTTGAATCCATTATGGCATCCAAAGAAAGTCCCAAGTCATGGGGGACGGCATGTTAATATGGGTCCATAACATATATGTGAATACGAGATCTCGTTAGCCACTTGACAAAGTGGTGTTATGTTTGATATGTCTGAGACCGATTACTCTAGTCGAAAGATGATATAATATGTCTTATCGAATGCCCCATTATTATGTTCAGATATGAGAGTGACTATGCTATGCTCTGTTTTTATGTTTATGAAGTACTCAGAATTCGTTCACTAACCTCTTTATTTTAATATTATTCACTGGGCTTTACCTTACTGTGTGTATATATATATGTATAGGTGGGCGACATGGAGAACAAGCCTAGATGAACATGGTTAGCTGAGCCACCGTCTGAAGCCTTTTGTGTTTTGTTTTGGAGCCTCCGAGTTGAGGCTAAGTCTAAGTGACCCTTGGCGAATTTTATGTTTTTTACTAGGAGTTTTGGTAATATGTTTATTTGTATATGAAAGGTTTTGTACGTGATGTGTATATGTTTTTGTACATGTTAGTATGTATGTATTACAAGGTGGCTATATTCATTTAATTATATGCTTGTTCATATAGTTAGCACAGCTCATTGGACTATTTATTTTAATTTTGTATTAAGGTTTTGCTAGCCACGATTATGTTCTATTTTATACAAGAAGGCCTTTGGTAATCTCGAATTACTAGCCTGTCATCTCACCGACCCTTACGGGGCGGGGTTCGGGTCGTAACACAACTAACTTGTAACAACGCTCCTTAATTATGATTACAAAAATGCTTACCCAGAGTCAAATGAGGGTGATGATACATCCTTTATTCTTGTTATTCTTAATTGTGTACCTATTAACGTGACGCGATGATGGCGCAA